ACTTTATGATCTGTTAATTGGTCAACTTTATGAGGACAATTTTTGTTGTGAAAATAATTATGAAAGTATAAGTAATATATGAAAACAAATTTTATTAAAATGTTATTAAATTGTTAATTTTTTTATATTAATAAATAATTATTATAAAAAAATTAATAAAAATTTATTAAATGAGTTTTATATAAAAGAGCTATAAAAAATTAAAGGTTGTGGAAAAATTTCTTCATTTAAAAAATGTAATAAAAATTTTATAAGTTAAAAATTATATTGAAAATAAAAATATTATTTTTATTTTTGTTTTATAATAATATTTATATATAAAAATATATAAATAACCTTTTAAAGGAAAAAGTTTAAAAAAAATTTAGAGAAATAATTTTCCCCTCCCACCACACATCCCTTATATTTTTGGGTTTCTTTAACTTGTGCCATATATTTTTTAAATTATCTAACCTCTGTCTTAAAAATATATATTAAAGATATATTAATGTATTTTTTTATTATTTTATATAAAAAATAAAAATTAATTTAATTTCAACATTATTAATATATATTATTTTAATTAAACAACTAATAAAATTAAAATTAAAAATATTATTTTTATTTTATTATAATATTTACATGTAAAAATATATAAATAACTTTTTAAAGGAAAAAGTTTAAAAAAATTTGGAACCAAACTTTCAAATCCAATGATTTATCCTTAAATCTTAAGTGTTTAGATATAATTGATCAAAAACTCACTCTTACCAACAATTTGAAAAAAAAAAAATCCCCTTCTCTCAAATTCCCCCATGTTCAAATAATAAGAATAATAATAATAATAAAATTAAAGTCATTTCTATTTTTTATAATAATTATTAAAAAATATAATTAATATAATTTTAATTTATATATCTTAAAGTATAAGTTAAAAAATATAAAAAATAAGAAGTGGTTGTTGGGCGAAAATAAAAAATAGTGGGTGGATTGGGTAAATCCATGTTTGTTGTCATTGCTCAACAAACTCGTTCCAATTCGTACGCCCTCAAACTCATTGTTTGTGGGAGATTAATTTTTAAACAGTATTTTTATGAAAAATCAACCCTTAAAGGCGTAAACTATTTGCTTGTTGCTGAATGTCCTTTTCCCCTGATATGAACTTACCCTTCCATCCTAGAGTGACAGAGTTCGCACGGTGTGGCCCCTAGACGCTAACATGGACAACAGAATGCTTAGGTGGACTTATCTATCCAGTTGACAAATGCTTAGGTGGACTTATTGTCAAATTATTTTTTAATGATCAGAAAATTATCCTCCTCCTTTTTTCTTCAATTCTTCACCTCTCCAGTTCACTGCATAAACTCTGTGTGATATCTCCTTGATATTTCTCCTTCTTCTCTTCTTCTTCCTATACTCCTTTTCACTCGGAAAGCATAGGGACTAACCGGAGCCCTGTGCCGCCTTTTATCAATGCCACGGTGGTCGCGACTACTTTGGAGGAGGTGGAACCCCCAACCACGCGGTTAATTACTAGAATGCCATCTTCTTCTTCCTCTTTCCCTTTCTTTGCACTCATCCTCCTTTTCTCTCACTTCTATAGCTCCAGCAAATCAGGACCCAAAAAAACGATTGATAAATGAGGAGAAAGGAGAGTGTATTTCCTAGCAAATTCATCAGATTCCAACTTCACGAAAAAGCAAGCGAAAGCAAATGCCAAACCCACCCCCCCGTTTCTCTCTCTAAAACCAGCCACCAAACCACTATTTCTCCCTGCTATTTTATTTAATCTAAGAGGATTTGTACTTTTTTTTTCTCCCCGCATTTGGGTCGGGAAATCCTTACCTCTCGTATGGTGTCCCATATTTGCTTTCTGGATCCCTCTTCTCCTTGGACAATCGAAACTCTTTCATAAGATTAATAGGTTGTGTTACAATCCCACATGACTTTGCTATTGTGTTCTTCCAAACCAGCTTATTCTGTGTATCCCATAACAACAAACAAAGGATTGCAAAAAGAATCACATATATTCTCTGCATCCAAAACATCATTCGAAAATTCATAAAAAAACCATGCATTTTGGTCCTTCAGCTGTCTCTTTATCTGGAATTCTTCAATTTTTTGGTTTTTTTTATCCTTTAACATAAGACCTACGTGGCTAGCAAGTGCAGATAAAGATGCTGAAATGGCAAGGAGAGAAAATATTTTAGAACGTGGTGTTAATATAGAGTCAAAACCCAGAAATCCTGTGATAGACGCGAAAAAAGCCCTTCAAATCGGGACAATTTTTGGGGTCACTCCCACAAAAACTGCCCAGCGTACAGTCAGATATAGAAATACGCAGAAGGGTTCTGTGCCAACGGCAATTTTGCCATATACCTTCGCCATTTTTTACCTCCTCCCAACATTTCATAGGTATAGGGTTCTGTTGGCTATAGATTACAGTTTGCAGATATATATACGATTAAGTTCTAGTTACACTTATAAAACGATATTTATACAAAAAAATAAAGATTAAAAGTAACATTATTATTATTATTATTATTTATAATTAAAAATTTTTCAGGTAAATTCACTACAAGAAAATTCACCTTTAGTGACTAAATTATTG